TCCATCCATTTACTTCTGCCAGGAGTTCAAATTGTGCTCTATATGCTCCATATGGTGCCTTCCCATCGAATTCCTGTGGCTTTCTTCGTAATAAATCACCCCTATTGCTGACACTCATGTTTGGAATGTGACTTCTGGCAGGACTGCAGATGTCTGCATTAGGGTTTAGCTGCAGGGTCTGGAATGGGCTTCCTGTTGTCTGGGGCTGATTAGGTCCATGGCTAATATGTCCTCCCTGTGTAAAAGACAGTAAATTGTCCTTTAATGCATTTAATTCACTTTGAAATTTACTAATCTTTTCCATTGGTACTTCACGGTGATGTTGTACTCTCTCTTCTTGTTCTTCTTGCCACTGTTGTAGTCTCTTTTTTTGTTTATTTTCTTTTTCCTCCAACCACTGCTGTAGTTGTTTACTTTCTTTCTCCTCCAGCAACTGCTGTATCTTCTCTTCTTGTTTCTTTTCTTTCTTCTCTAACTACTACTGTAGTCTCTCTTGTTTATTTTCTTTCTCCTCCAACCACTGCTTTAGTCTCTCTTCTTGTTTATTTTCTTTCTCCTCCAGCCACTGCTTTAGTCTCTCTTCTTGTTTATTTTCTTTCACCCCCAACCACTGCTGTATTCTTCCTTCTTGTTTATTTTCTTTCACCCCCAACCACTGCTGTATTCTTCCTTCTTGTTTATTTTCTCGTTCTTCTTGTTTCTTTCCTGGTTCTTCTTGTTTCTTTTGCTGTTCTTGTATTGCTACCATCAAATCTGCTAAGTTTTAGTTTGATTTGCCACCTCTCATTTCCATTTTTCTTCTTTTCCATCCCACTTTCTGACACCAATTTGCTACGTATCTGCTTATTTGTTAATTTTCGGCAGAAATTCTTTCCAAGGAACTTAGTGATACAAGTCATTTCTTGATTAAACCAGTTTATTCTTTCTCGATAAAAGTTTTTAGTACACAGTAATTCCACAATCAGTACGTTTCTCGTCACATTAAACTTAACAACTTTTATAATACACGCTATATATCACAGCGATTCACAATCTCGATAATTTTGCTCTCGAAGAGCACAAACACACACTTTATTTTTCTGCTGGCTTTATCTGTCAGGCTTTTATACTAAAGAAGAGGGCATCTCGAACAAACTCGGACTTCCCCGATAATTCGAGAAACTTCACGCACGTTACCAGCGTCACGTACTTCCGCTGTCGTAAGAATATCTGTGCTTTGTCAACCACGGGTATCGAAATCCGATTTTTAGCATCATAATTCTGTATGCTAATCCCTAAGCAACTGCGGGTCCTAAGTTAAATAAAATTTCTTAATTTCTTTTACGCAATACTAAGTTCTACACACCAATCACTCAAGGAAAACCCATAACAAGATATAGTGTAAGACTCAGCGGAATTACACAGACTCAAAATTAGACCTTGAAACAGTAGATAGAGTCACTGAGATACTTTTAAGCCTAAATAATCAAACTTTATCTGTTACTCTTTCAGAATAGAAAAAAGTACTAACAGCTA